CGTGCCGGCATGCACTGCCACCATTCCCACCTGCCCGATCTGTGCATCAAATCACACAAGGGCCAACCACCGCTGCCCTAATCCAACGTGCCCCAAGTTGGGCTTCCTCAAACCTGTCATCGGCTGCTGCCCGGCCTCCCCTTCCAAGTATGCAAACTGCTCCGGCGGCCACCCCGCTACTGACAGGTCATGCCCTTCTCGCCCCTCCCAGCCAACACAGCAGACTTCAGGGTCTGAGGCAGAGGATGAGGAGGGGGACGACACTATGGACCAGGACGATGCCCCTCCAGGCAACGCTCACACACCCACTCCCCCCCTCCCGGATGCCAACCCTTTGGCCACCCCCCGACCTGTTGTTGTCCTGATACTACGTGCTCCAGCACCTGCCTCCCAGTCTGGTGCCTTCTTCGCCTCCCTAGGGGAATCCAGTAGCCCGTCTCTGTTCCCCTCAACTTCCTTCCATAAGTGATAGTACAACCCATGGATCCAAATTTGGTGGACCGATTACTGCCAACCCCCACTTTCCTTCCATTTCTTTCCATCGTTCAACATAACTGCTTAGGGAGCTGGAATGTTTTTCTTTCCCTGTTCAACAGCCTTGCTGCACTGCCCTCTCCTCCCCAGATAGTGGCCCTCCAAGATCCCCTGCCTGGTCTGGCGGGGAAAGCTGCCCTCCTTTTCCATGTATAAATGCTTTTCCCCTCCTGTCACCTCAGGCCGCAAGCCTAAGGTAGCCTTCTTCGTATACCAGGAGCTCCTTGGAGCCTACCCTGTTCTTCCCTGTTTTTTCAATCTGCCTGACCTAATGGCACTGGATATCCACTCGCCTAGGAGCTTGTTTTCATCGTCTCTCCATGTTTTTCGGATTTACGATTTGTATTCCATTAATTTCGTGTCATCCCACCGCCAGACAGTGTCGCCGGTGGATGCTTTTCCCCTTCATGATTTCCCCACCCTCACGCTTGGAGACTTTAACCTACACCACCCCCTATCTGACCCTTTGCGGCAGTTTTCAGACCAGGATCTCCTGGTGTCCTCTCCCTACTTTGAGGTGGCCTCTGAGGCTGGCTACAGCCTTCTCAACACCCCTGGCATCCATACCACTGTAAAAGGGCAAGAAAAGGGGGCTCCGCAGCAATCTCTGACTCGGTTGGGAATACAAGAGAAACCATCTCGCAGTGCCCCAAACGGCCAGCGCGTGCCAAGACTCACCAATCGAGGAACTATGAAGAGCTACAGACCAGAATAGTCGTCCTATCGCAGCGCCTCTAGAGCTGTGATACCTCAGTACGACAGTCGTTGGCTCTAACCGTGGGTCCTACAGTATAAGGTAGTGGCTTTCAGGAGTAGTGGTAGGACCGCAGGTGACAGTGGGAGAGGAATGGGCAGATGCTCCCGGTAGAGGGAAGCAAGGGAGGAACGAGTGATGTGTTGTGATTACTTCTTGACTAATGATATATATCTATTCTAAAAAACTGAGCGAACGGCGGAATGAATGAGCTGGATTGGGGTCCCAATATCGGAATTTGTGAGCTTACCTTCAATTCAAGAATAAATTTTCTGCATTTATCTACGGCCTCGAATAACGGGCACCTTTGGGCGCAGTCTGCACCCAAGGCTGTAATACTAGGATGGTAACCATATCCTGAAAACTATAGGATCTTAAGGTATTTCCTAAGGGGAGGGAGGCGTAGTGAGCCGAGATTAGGTTGGCCTACAATCGGAATGTGAATTCGAGTAATAGATAGTAGGCAAAGAGTGCAGGAGTGTGCTAGTGGGTGAGATGCTGGAATCCATGAAGGTAGTGAGCTGTCTGATCGTTGAAATTACAAGATTGCTGTGGGAGATTTCTTTCTTTTCCGAGCGACGGTCATTTAAGTGAAAGGTTCTCCAGACATGACTTTCCTGTGTTATGACGGATGTGTCGGAGAGAATGGGGATTCATGGAGGAAAATGTATGTGTTGTGAATACTGGAGAGATCAGGATGACTACCCCATGTTTCATAATTATATAATAATATTATTATTGTTCTTAACAAGATTATTAGATTGGTTGAGGTAGGTAAAAGAGGGGGAGGGGGGTACCGCCACGCCTTTCCACCTCTATTACAGTTGCTCGATAATGGACAAGTCCCATTCCATTCCTCCAACTCTACTGCCAAGCAATTTATTAGCTATGATACTCCCCGGGAAGAGACATATTTTAATTTCATAACAATATCATTATAAAGGAATGCAGAGGGTGAGGGTTAACTGTCGGCGTTGACCACACTATATCCGGTGGCTGGGCCAATAGTCGGTCGAGTCCTTGATCTGTTCAGCGTCTGGTTATCTAAAGAAAAATTGGCTGAAAAAAATAACTATGGGCCACAAGGTGTCTGGTTCTATCATCTTCTAACATGAACTGATTGGGCTATTAGGGGCACAACTAGCCTAACTCAGGATGTCCAAATCGTCAGGAGCTGAGCGTTTGTGGATCAAAAATCGGACAACCTACAAAACAAGCAAATTACCTTCCACTCACTGGAGAATGGAGTGGTCAATGATATTTATCGGGTCCTCGTGCCAAGTAGGGACTGTAGGTAATTTAGGATATCGGATTTTTGATTATCAAGAGTTGTAAATTGATGATTTGTTCCTTATTCTATAAACACGGAAATGTAAAATTTTCTTCTCCTATTATACCCACTTCCTCTTGTCCCTATATAATTGCCGGAATGTCTTTATTAGTTAGCTACCGAGTTAAGATTACCCAGCTTAGTAGTGTAGTCATTTGGGTTGTGACAAGTTCTGCATAATACTAGAGTTTCGCCCGCCAAAAAAATTACTCACTATCCTACCGCATGCCATGGTGAACTTGAGGCCGTTTCATACACTTGGTAAGCAATTCCAGGGCCAAGAAGTCAAAAGCAGATTCCCACAAGGCTAAGCACTTGGATCCTTAAGCTTAAACTCACCCACCCCGAGATTGCGTAAGCAAGAAGGTGCCATTAAATTTTCACCAACATACGAGGACATCGCTTTAAGAGCGCTCACGTTCCTGTCATGGCTTTCTGTGTCGCTGTTTAACATTAAGATAACACGAGGGTTTGTCAAACATGTAACTACAAAACAATCAGTACAAGTGTAGCAAAAGTATACACTAAATGACACACACATCCGCCTTTTGTACGCATGCGACAGCAATAGCAAATCTTTGCAACTCTGCAACAGAAAGCTGCTCAACATCACGGTCCAAAACGGGACGCAAATCTGCAACCATCAGTCAAGATTTCCCAATGCAAGTTGATATTTAAGCGTACTAAGAATGTCAATCATAGACTCCATGACTTTATTTCCCCGGACTGAGCTTTAGGCAACGCACTCACAAACCTCACAGTCCCTCGAATCGCCAGTGGCAACTTATCAACATACTGAGGTTTGACAACCGCCTTTATATTATCTTCTATGACCTTTGTCAAGTAGTTCTGCAACTCCGAGCCACGGAAGTAGGCCAATGTTTCGTTCCAATCCGAGGGGTTATCATAACGGGCTAAATTTGGCTTTTGCTTTCCAGAAAGAATCTTCAAAGCGGTAGACTTTCCGATACCATTCGTCCTAACAAGACCAAGGGCCTGGCCAGGACGGGGTGTGGGCAATCTATGTAGCTTGAATGAATTTGCAGAGTAACGATGGGTGACTTGAGTTTCGAGGTTGGTTGGAAGATTGATGATGTGAATAGCTCTTGGAAGAGACAGGTTCAGTCAATGCTCCTCTTTGCAGCGCCTTCCTCAGGGGCAATTTGATATACCTCCGAAGGGACACTTCTTTGGGCAGATACCACAACCAATGCACAGCTGCTCGGAGCTAAAAGCAATCTTAGGGTCTGACGTGACCTCGATACATGGCCTCCCTCTCCTGACGACTGGGAACGACTTTTTGCATTCTTGTCGACATTTCTATAGTTCCGAATATCAGAAAACCCCGTTGCTTGTTTCGCCACCACCACAAAGCGGGGGATCGCGAACGGCACACCCCAGGTTTACACTGCAGAGAAAACCCAATCAGCCATCGTCATGCCCGTATAATAAATCACTTCAAGGGCGGAAACTTACCTTATCCGTGCTCACGATGGCAATGCTATTAGTGAGGGAAAAAGTGCTTAGCGCCTTCCGCTACAAAACCATTACAATGATGGGAGAAAACGCATACCACGTAAGTTCATCAGCCATTTTTATCAAGCTCCAAGTCGATACACACTGAAATAGGAGCGTGAAGAAATGAGATTAGAAAATAAATAGTTATTCTGTAGCCATAAACAAAGAAGGAGGGGTCGACCTTGTGTGGAAGGATGAGTGGGGTTTGGATTTAAGTTTCTGTGTACGTAGATTATGTCAGCAATGGGTGATCTTGTCTGCCCAGTCTGTGATTGGCTAAGCATGGGCATCGAGTCATGGAATCTCAAGTTGGACTCACAGCAAACATTAGTTAATTTTATAGATCTACAATTGCTTTTCGGACATAGTTTGAGTAGTTGGCGAGATACCGATACTGTACCACTCATTAGCTAAATTCCATGCACCGCCCTCGAGTAGCACCTACTGTACTGCAGTGCTTCTCTTTGCTGTAATGCCATTGTCATTACAATTGGCGGCAGCACACTTGTCGACCTCCTCTAACATAGATAAAGAGCACCTAGACTAATATCATTATATGTACGCATTCCAACCATTACTATCAACAGAAAATAAGTATAGTACATACAGTAGCGAACTCTAGTCATTATGAACATTGCCCGTGCACTATCCAGAATAATAACTCCCACCGATCCTGTGATAAGCCTAACTCCCCCATAGCGAGAGAAAACAGTAAAAAGAAATACCAATCCCGCGAAGCCCAGGACGCCAAACCCCCAAAAGCACAATTGGTGTATCCGTGGCTGCCAGGTGACATCCAGCCAGAACTAAAGTCCTACACCTCTGACTACTATCCAGGCACCGACAGGCACCGCAATATTGTTATTAACACTGGTAACCACCGTTTCTACCATGCTCCCCCAAAGCCCCACTTGTTGCAATCCTGACCCAGACTACGGGGGGCCACATCTGAGTTTCTGTGCCCACCCACCACCTGCCCACGCCCAACCCAGTCATAACAACAAGAGTGAATGTGAGGCTTCCTTCAATACTTTTTCCCCCTCTCCAGCCCCATTTGGTTCTTCCAAATCTCCTTCTGATTAGCGACGCAGTTGCATCGCCAAGCCCAACCCAAACTACCCCACTGACGAAGCCCAAGTCAATCTGCCTGCCTGACCAATCCCAAGCATCACCCCCCTCGGTGTCCGTGGAAGCAAGTGTTAACCACCATCCAATAGCACACCCAAGGAGCAAGAAAACGTGCGAAACAATTACTGGGCCTTTGAGATCTCTTCCGTCAACAAAGGGCTGCAAAAATATGGCAATTTTTCCACTGAATGGCGGTAGCTGCCCCGCTCTGACTGTCAAGTAGTAGGAAAACCGCGAGTGTCAGACCTAGCCCAAGATATGCGAATGCTGGATCTAGAACCCCCGGGATAAGAAACATGATTACAACCATTCCATCAAAAACTTTTCTCCTAGTATATACTTGGATATGTGCCAAGATAGCAGTTACCAAACTAATTCCCATGGCTAAGACCACGAGCCAGTATCCCGTTATAAGCAAATGGAGATTGGCCGCAGACGTAGCTTCTTCGGTGACGCAGTATCCTGTACCCCAAGCTATCATGTCCACTAGATTTTGATACCAGCTCTGACCGCAGAGAAAATATCCTAGGGCCCAGAGAAACAGGTTGACGCCATCTAAGGCGTATTTCCCAATATCGGGGCATAGCGCCACTATGACGCACACAACGCTATCATATACCCATAGAGAATGTGCAAGTTTCCGCTTCCTAGCTTGCTCGTGGGTGAGAGAGGCGTAAAAAGATTTTTGACTAACGGACTTTGGCCTTGCTAACTTAGAGGCCTTGGAGGTTATCTCTAGCAGCCCTCCTTCGCTATCACTTGCGTGTCCCTTCGCTCTTAACAAGGTGAGTTTTTTCCATTTTCCGATGCTGATAATGGTATTTCCAGCGCGGTGTAGTTTGTGGGAAGGGACACGTGCAAGATTGACGTTCCACTTGATAATGTCTTCGCAGAGTATTAAGATGCCCAGACCCCCGCCCCAAAGAACGGCTTTCAGAATAATGGCTTGGGGGGATGATGCATAAACCAGAAGATTGATCAACACCATTGCAATCATTCTGAGCTCGGTCGAGGTCAACGAGGGATCCAAAAGATAGGTCAAGACCCAGCTTAAGCCAAAGTGAAGTGGCGGGAGCAATGAGAGTGCATCGGAATTAGATTCGGAGTTTAGCTGCTGGGGGAAATACACCGTGATGACAAGGGGGAGTACCAGTAGTGATAGTATCTAGCGAAGATCCCACCTCAGTATAAGGGTTGGCGGCAGAGATGAGAGACTCAGGATTAAATTTGAGACAACGTAGGGGGTTTTGCTCCTTTTGCTCTCCCGAGTCATTGAAAGAGCAACCATTATCGGGAAAACGATGGGGTATAGAAGCGGCGATGGATCTAGAGATCTCGGAAGCACGAGTTGGTCGCCACAGAGCAGGATTAGAAATGGGTAAGAGGCCAAAGTTGTAAAAAGCACAGCAGCCCATGCAGTAAACTCTAGACCCCCAGGTTAGCATCAAAAAAAAAGGGAAAAAAGCTCCTCCGGTACTCGTTGAATTCAACTGCTAGCTCAAGTTCGATTTACCTTGTTTCCGTATACCCACTTCTTTCCAGATCCTGCCTTCCCTGCTGAAATGCACGATACCAACTAATACTCCCATCAAACCGATTTCAATGCCATGGCACACAAAGACAATCCCCCTTGGTTTTCTTTTCTTCCCTCCTCCCAGTTTGCGTCCACTACCGGTCAGTCTCTATCGCGGTCTGCCTCTCTCGTCTTCGTGGCCATCAATAGATTGATCTTCTTCCCTGTAAAACCCCCCCTCCTTGGATGATGTGCGGCTCCTCTTTCCTGGTGGTGCCGGAAGCTTTCACGCAAGCTCATCGTCAGCTTCTGTACCCGATTCTGACTCCTCATAGCTGGGCTTTTGCGGAGGTGGAGAAGTTGCACGGATGCATTTGGGGTTAGAGCTGGTGAAGAAAGGTATGCGGCTCCACCTGGGGAGGGGGCATGCTGCACTCTTGGGGACGGGAGAGGTCTCCTCCGGTAAGGCTGCGGTGAGCGAGACGATTGCCGGTTGGCAACTGGAGAACCAGGTCGAGAAGGCAAGGTGGGAGCTCTCAGGGAATCGGTGGGCGGATTACTCTTTCCCATTCTTTATTCCTACCCCGGGTGCTGAACAGAGGAAAATAGGAACCATATGGAAGTGCTTGTACCGTACGGCAGTAGAGAGGAGTGAAGTTATTATTTCGGATATTTATGTTCTGGATAGGGGTAGAGCCATTGGAAGGAGCGAGAAAAAGGTAAGGAAGGAGGAAGGGGGGTTTGAGGGAGGAGTTTGGGATGGCATGCCACACTGGTACTGTACCAATTTTTGATGCAACACATGAAAATAGATCGACCAACAAGGGCGAACCGTTGGGGATTGAGTATGGTAGGGGACCTCCGTCGCGGGAGCACTAAGTGAGGTACTCGAAGGAAGCCTAAAGACTTTTCAACAACAATCTCAATAAAAGAATAACTCTATTAGGTGAAAGAGTAGCTTGTTGGCTTCAAACTAATACAGAGAAAATTGAAATGTCTTGTGTTTTCATAAAGTTATTGAACCTTAAAAGGGGGCAGATTTGGGTGAGAGAATTGAAATGTCTGAGGTGTTTTTGGGCATGTTAATTGCAATTAATCCCTTGAGGGCATACAGTTAATGTAATTTTCCAAGACATTAACCTGTATTAAGTAAATTCTAGGAATATTAACATACTATTACTAAGCCACGATGAATGTCCACCTACTCCCGCTACAGAGGTCCCCCACCATACTGTATTTAAATTTAAAGCTCACTCGCCTCCCTCACTAACTGAGGGTGGAAATTCTTTTTTTCACTGGTACTCGAGTATGATACATTCATTCGCAGTTCACTTATGACGCTAAGTTATATAAACCAGGCACACAAAGAAACCTGCCGGGTACTTTAACTTATGAATACCAGTACCGGTACCGTAAAAACTCGTGAAATTGGCTATCTCCGGCAGCCCCTAATCTCCGGATTGTAAGTCAAAATCCCTGAAGAAGGATTAGTGTTTTCCTGACACGGTATAGCCTGACTCATTTGGCTTAATTATTGGATCTCGTTATCCTTGCAAGCTAAACCTATTGTGCTGATGTCGCGATTTACAGGGATTTTCGTCACAGCTCTGAGATAGCCAATGTCACGAGTTCTTACGGTATACCAATCAGTATTTATACTTTCGTCGCATGTTTCTAGGGACACAACGAGGTCCACCTAGAACGAGTGTGTTTAACGGAAGTGCCCCCTTGCTACATGCAGGACACAGCACACAACACCACAAGGGAAGCTAGAGATTTGACATTGGGACATTGTGACATATTATCAGGCGGACAATATCGCCCTGTATATTCACCTAAAGACAGTGGGCTAGAGGGAAGGAAACTGGTTTAGAATACTAGTACAATACTTATTATATTTCACAGAAAACATCATCGGAGGACCGTGTTAGCACAAGCTACTGCACGAGACATCCAATACAGATGCAACACCTATCCGATTCGCCGTTCATGAGATCCCAATCGAACTCAGTTTGGTGTGACAGAACAACCACCCCTAACCCCCAGTATACCTGCCCTCCCTATTAGTTCTATCACGGTAGGCGGGGAGAGAACAATATGTAGGACCATGGATTAATTATTATTAGTCTATTGCTATGGTCTATCTATAGTAATCACCCCCCCCCCCCACCCCTACGGAATCCTATCACCTACCGCCACCTCGTGGCCCTAGCTGGCTCCAGTGGGGCCAGGGGCAACCGGGCGGGGCTGCGCGGGGGCAACTGGGGGGCACCTGGGGACGGGGCCAAGGCCATCAGCCTCTGTGGCCAGGGAGACTTGTTTTTCCTTTCCCGAGACGTTCGGAAAAAAATGAGCCTTCATGAGGGAGCTCACGAACTAATGAATATTAGTAAGCAATGAATGGGTAGTAAGTGAATATTATACAAACCACAGTTGCTCCCGCGAGTAAAACACCGACCTGCCAGACCAGTGGTCTGAGTTGACTTTTAATGTCTCCGCGAGTTTTCTCAATCTCCGTTCGCAAGGTCCCACGGGTCTCCATAATCTCAGTACGCAAGGTCCCACGGGTCTCCATCATCTCAGTACACAAGGTCCCACGGGTCTCTATCGCCTCGGCACGCACCTGGCCAATCTCTGCACGCACCTGCCCAAAGCCCTGCTCGACCAAGACCCCAATCTCGCCGCTTGTTTTATTTGTCTCGGCCCTGAAGTTGCCGAAGTCCTTCCAGATTGTTAGATTACACTACAAAGCCAAGTGGGACAAACTATACCTTCTCGATGTTGGTGATACGATCATTGAGGCGGTTGTCGAGATTTTCCATGCGGGCCCACTATTATAAATACTCATTAGATGCAAGTTTGTCAAACATTGGGTAACGTACCAAGTAATCCTCATGTGGGTTGTTCTTCTGCTCAGATTTGCTCTCGACTAGTGTTGTTCACGAGCCGGCTCGAGCCGAGCCCAGACCTGGACTCGAGCCAGGTCGGCTCGAGAGACCCCTAGACTCGAGGGCTCGAGCCCAGGTCACACCCAGACTTGAGGACTCGAGCCAGGCTCCAGCTGCCAAGAGGCTTGAGTCTAAAGTGGCCACGATACCTCTACACACTGCCATTATCACTCAAATCAACCAAAAATTGTATATAGCAACTTGAAAACAAATACAACTAGCCAAATGACCTTCCCACTATCCCCAAGTCCAATTCCTGACTCGAGTTGGCTCGTGCACAACACTACTCTCGACATCATCCTCACCTGGTGCAAACTCTGGGAAGCCATTGACATCACTAGTGAAAATGGACCTCCAAGAATGGAAGGGATACGGATGCGTGGTTTTTCTAGCGGTCGGGCAGACTCTTCTCTTGGTAAGAAGACGAAACATGATTCTTCTTGTTGTGTGAAACGAGTTGGTGTAACGGATTCCCTGTCATTGCTTCTCGGTGATGGGTGGAGGAGAAGGGGATTGGACACTTCTCCCGAATACCCCTATTTATCCCCTAGGCGGATAACCGTGCCAAGATTGTGGCTCCACCACAACCTTGGCACGGTTACCTATAATACCTACTGCTGTGGTAATTTATTAAAAGAGTTCGGTATGACGGCTACCACAGATCCTCTGTTCGATTCGATTCACCTTGGCTTCGGTAAAGAAAGAAAAACCCAAAATGTAGATCAGTGCCTAGCTTCTGCATGGTTCCCGTGGGATGGCAGGGTCTGGCTGAGCTAGTGTTGAAGCGGACATTGTATTGTAGGTTTAGGCCAGGAGGAGGAGGGCTCAAAAAGAGGTGCGATCATATGGGGGCTGGCGATACTGATCTGGGGGGGGGGCAATGCCGTGATGGATGGAAGAGAGAGAAACCTCGCAAAACTCGACGGTGCGATATGATATTGGGACTTCGCATTAATAATAATAATAATAATACCCGCCCTGCTGGAAACCTATTTTATGATACCATAGCGTAGTGAACCGTATCGTGAGAGCTCGGATGGCTGAACGAAGGGCAATACTGTTGGGGTTGCCTCCTCGGGTAAAGTTTTACGCTTTTACAATAGTAAGTTACGGTCTGTCTCTTTTCAGTGGGGGGCCCAAGCGACTCGCATCTTGCCATCGCATCATATCCTTTCCACCTTTTTTCCGGAGAACGGAGCGGTCGGGAATCTTTGACTGCATACCACGTAGTCCAATTGATAATTGATATTCGAGTCTCTCTCTGCATGTACTCGAGTACTACTCGTAGTACGAGTACAGGTACTGTACGGTACTCGTACATTATTACCTGAATGATATTGTTATATTTCGAGACGACCCCCGTTTTTGTGTGGGAAATCCGTGGGGATTTCAATTGGGATGCATTGTGGGCCATCACCTCACTGGCGATAAATTTTTTTGCGATAACGACCGTAAGCTCGAAGGAACCTCGCTATGCAGCTACCTAATCCCTTCATTTGTTCTCAGGTACGGGTACTAATATGGTCTCTCTGATGCAGATGGCGTGCATGGCGTACCGTATCTTTTTTTTGGGGGGGGGCGATACAGTGCTCAACATACGATGCTGGCGTCAATGAACGGTTAATGGGACTTTTGGGCTGTAGATAATGAGGGGAAGTGTTGAATTTTCTAATTCGTTTCATATGTATATTCTTCTTGATAATATTGTATATTCCTCTACTTAGTATTATTTCTAGTTCACGGACATTACTACAGCGGAGTATGTATTACATGTATTTCATTGATATTTCATGATACGATTAGGGGATTATGGCGTGCTTTTCTTATCTGGTGTTCAGGTTTATTTCTTACATTTTATGCATCATCATATATGGTCATCGGTCATTTGATTTACAATTATCTTCTAATTATCCGTTCACACTACCTCAGATTTACGCATGGTTTATGGGATTTCCTTGGCAGTTCTTTAGGGTCAAACATGTTCGCACTTATGTTTTTCCTACTTATGTTACGGTCAAACACATAGATACTTATGTTTTCTTTTACATTTCCTCTTAGTTACATGAAGGATGCGTACCTGTATAAATAGGGGTTACTGTCACGGCCACCCGAGCTGGTATGGGGGCGGGACCTTGGGATTTTGGTGGCATTGATTGGTTGTGGTTTCCTTGGTTGCTTAGTAGGGTTTCCTTTGTGTTACTATTGGGATCGGTTGCCGCGTAGCGGAACCTGGTGGAACTTGATGGAAGGATCGCGGCTGCGCGCAATGTTAAGGGTTTTCTTTTGTATTAGTGATCACGGAGGATTTTTTATCTATATAAGGGGGTGTACCCCCTTATATTTTATGTTCTTTACGTAATCTGGTAATCTCCTTCAGACACCTGTACCTAGGAATTACACTCTCTACTATCTGGCGTCCTCTTGAACCCCTGAACCCTGGCCCTGAACCCCTGATCTCCGAGCCTCGTACAACCTCGCTTCGGTCATACTCCTGTACCTAGATCTCACCTCTGAACTCTTGCCTGTCCCCGCTGTGGTGTGTCTTGGGCTACCCGACCCTCAGACCCTGCCCGTTACAGTTACCACCCATCTCGCTTAAGAGAATTAAGGACAAGAACTACTACCAATCGACCTTCATATAAAATTCCTCCTCGCTTAGCATGCCCGCAGTATACTCTTACTACTGTGTCGTACTTTCGTACAAAGTTATTAAGATAGTGCCGTACCCACACATTTGAACAGGTTATGAGCCCGGTGCCTCTATAACTATACAACTTACACCTACACGCTTCCTACCTACGACGATCGAAACATTTCACCCGACGCGAAACATTTCTACCTCGAAACGAAACAAATTCATTTGAGTCGAAAACATTGATCAAACTGAAACTTTCTTCGAAACAAAACTTTATCGCTCGGCACGAAATTTTCTCGGCGAAACGTTCTTGGCATTCACCCTCGCTTAAAAGCAGAATCTGCCACCTGTTTCCTCCTAATCCTCTTCTTTCCTTAGACACCGTTCAAGCGGTCCTCCATCACCCTTCCGGCACTTCTTACCCTTTTGGGAGCCTGAATCAGACATCAGCTGGCGCAGCCACTGACCTAGGAGCATCCAGGTGTGCTGCAAACAGGCTTCCACTAGTGAAGGAGTGTTGGCCTATGGGGGTGGTGGTTATTAATACTGATCGAGGATTTTCAACATAGGTTAAAACTTTTAACACAAGTTAACAACCTATTACATGTCAAATTCCGGTGAATCTGCCGGAAACCAATCTCCAACTCACGAAGAAAACGAAGAATTCAAAGAAGAACTCGAGCAAGAGGAGGAACAAGCACCTCCGTTACCTCCAACTCCTCCTCTACCTCCTCCTCCATCTCCTCCGGTACCTCCAACTCCTCCACTACTACCTGGGTCATCGCCGGGCGCACTGCCTCTACCTCCACCAATGGATCCTGCAGGCCCTGCAAACCCTCCGCCGCCAAATCCTGCCAATACCAGACGCTCCTGGGCACCCTCCTACAAACTGAGCTCAATCCCAAAGCTCACGGGCCCAGAAAACTACAGAACTTGGCATGATATCTCAGAATATGTTCTCACCTTATTTAATTGTTGGAACATAATAACAGGAATAGAAACAATACCGGATGAGGAAGATATGGATAATGATGGTGATGCTCGTGAACAGTTCCAGGATCGTTACCATTGGGCCTCGGCCTACTTCCTCGAAACGATCGATCCAAAATGGCTTGTCTTGCTGGCCACCGACAAGACACCACCCACCATCTGGACTGCCTTCGAAGATAAATTCGCTCGTGAAAATACCACCTCCTTCTTTGACCAGCTCAATGCGGTCCTCGATTCCAAGTACAATACGTCTGAACTTATGCCGGACCATATCAACAAGTACGATACCCTATAGAATCGCATGCAACATGGTTGCTCAAAAGCTTCGGAAACTGACCTATACGCTCTACAATTTGTTTTTAAATCGGTATTCGAGTCAACCGAAGCCAAAGCCGCCGTTCTCCTCCGTTCCCTGCCCCGGTCGATGAGCAACATGGTCGACAACCTCCATACCAAGGAGGACCTTACCTACAATCATGTCTACAACAAACTGTTGGACTTGAAATCCTCAGTTAATTCTGAGGACGATAAGGCGTATAAAAGCGCCGATGTCAAAGGAAAAGGAAAGGCTCACGACACGGTCCGCCGGCAACCGGCTGAAACGAAGGAATGTTCCTACTGCAAAAAGCACTACCCCTCTGCTCGCAGTGAAGGTCACTCCTGGAATGAGTGTAACAAGCTCAAGGCCGACAACGAGAAGCAAAAGAAGGACACAGCCGGACACTCGGCTAAGATTGGAAAGGAAGAGACATCCAAACCGGTCAGTACCTCTACCTCCTCACCTCCTACGCAAAAGACCCCTTACCCCAATCAATGGGTTATCGATACAGGCGCAAGCTCACACATGACTTCGAATCTAGACCTTCTTATAAACTTCGAACCTTCACCAGGCACCGTTAAGTTAGGCGATAATTCGGTAATAGAATCATGCAGCCGTGGAACAGTGGAGCTTAAGGCCAAAACATCTGATGGCGGGACAGACTCTGTCTTTCTACAACGGGTTCTTTGGGTTCCTAAGTTGGGTTCTAGCAACTTGTTGTCATGGCGCGCTATCGTTTCTTTGGGAAAAAGGTTTTCTTTGCAGAGTTCTGGGAAGGATATGTATGTTTTTAGGGAAAATAAAACAGAGGTTCTATGGGGAAAGCTTGACGGACAGGACTATGTTGTGCAAGAGGAAAAAGAGACGGCGAACAAGATGACTTACAAAGAGTGGCATGAAGCCCTTGGACATTCATCGCTGCAATACCTCAAAGCCGACC